AATCCTCAATAAAATACTGGCAAACTGAATCCAGCAGCATATCAAAAAGCTTATCCACCATAATCAAGTGGGCTTCATCCCTGGGATGCAAGGCTGGTTCAACATTCGCAAATCAATAAAGGTAATCCAGCATGTAAACAGAACCAAAGACAAAAACCACATGATTATTGCAATAGATGCAGAAAAGGCCTTTGACAAAATTCAACAGCCCTGCATGCTAAAAACTGTCAATAAATTTGGTATTGGTGGAACATATCTCAAAATAATAAGAGCTTTTATGACAAACCCACAGCCAATATCATGCTGAATTGGCAAAAACTGGAAGCATTCCCTTTGAAAACTGGCACAAGACAGGGATGCCCTCGCTCACCACTCCTATTCAATATAGTGTTGGAAGTTCTGGCCAGGGCAATCAGGCAAGAGAAAGGAATAAAGCGTGTTCAATTAGGAAAAGAGGAAGTCAGATTGTCCCTGTTTGCAGATGAAATGATTGTATATTTAGAAAACCCTATCGTCTAAGCCCAAAATCTCCTTAAGATGATAAGCAACTTCAGCAAAGTCTCAGGATACAAAATCAATGTGCAAAAATCATAAGCATTATTATACACCAATAACAGACAAACAGAGAGCCAAATCATGAGTGAACTCCCATTCACAATTGCTTCAAATAGAATAAAATACATAGGAATCCAACTTACAAGGGATGTGAAGGACCTCTTCAAGGAGAACTACAAACCACTGCTCAATGAAATAAAAGAGGACACAAACAAATGGAAGAACATTCCATGCTCATGAATAGGAAGAATTGATATCGTGAAAATGGCTATACTGCCCAAGGTAATTTATAGATTTAATGCCATCCCCATTAAGCTACCAATGACTTTCTTCACAGAATTGGAAAAAACTACTTTAAAGTTCATATGGAACCAAAAAAAAGCCTGCATTGCCAAGATAATCCTAAGCCAAAAGAACAAAGCTGGAGGCATCAAGCTACCTGACTTCAAACTATACTATAAGGCTACAGTAACCAAAACAGCAGGGTACTGGTACCAAAACAGAGATATAGACAAATGGAACAGAACAGAGCCCTCAGAAATAATACCACACATCTATAACCATCTGATCTTTGACAAACTTGACAAAAACAAGAAATGGGGAAAGGATTCCCTATTTAATAAATGGTGCTGGGAAAACTGGCTAGCCATAAGTAGGAAGCTGAAACTGGATCCCTTCCTTACACCTTATACAAAAATTAATTCAAGATGGATTAGAGACTTAAATGTTAGACCTAAAACCATAAAAACCCTAGAAGAAAACCTAGGCAATACCATTCAGGACATAGGCATGGGCAAGGACTTCATGTCTGAGACACCAAAAGCAACGGCAACAAAAGCCAAAATTGACAAATGGGATCTAATTAAACTAAAGAGCTTCTGCACAGCAAAAGAAATTGCCATGAGAGTGAACAGGCAACCTACAGAATGGGAGAAAATTTTTGCAATCTACTCATCTGACAAAGGGCTAATATTCAGAACCTACAAAGAACTCAAACAAATTTACGAGAAAAAAACAAACAACCCCATCAAAAAGCGGGTGAAGGATATGAACAGACACTTCTCAAGAGAAGACATTTATGCAGCCAACAGACACATGAAAAATGCTCATCATCACTCGCCATCAGAGAAATGCAAATCAAAACCACAACGAGGCCAGGCGAGGTGGCTCAAGCCTGTAATCCCAGCACTTTGGGAGGCCGAGGCGGGTGGATCACAAGGTCAGAAGATCGAGACCATCCTGGCAAACACACGAAACCCTGTCTCTACTAAAAATACAAAAAAACTAACCAGGTGTGGTGGCGGGTGCCTGTAGTCCCAGCTGCTTGGGAAGCTGAGGCAGGAGAATGGCGTGAGCCCGCGAGGCGGAGGTTGCAGTGAGCTGAGATCACGCCTGGGCGACAGAGCGAGACTCCGTCTCAAAAAAAAAATAAAATAGGCCAGGCGCGGTGGCTCAAGCCTGTAATCCCAGCACTTTGGGAGGCCGAGATGGGCGGATCACAAGGTCAGGAGATCGAGACCATCCTGGCTAACGCGGTGAAACCCCGTCTCTACTAAAAATACAAAAAATTAGCCGGGCGAGGTGGCGGGCACCTGTAGTCCCAGCTACTCGGGAGGCTGAGGCAAGAGAATGGCTTAAACCCGGGAGGCGGAGCTTGCAGTGAGCTGACATTCGGCCACTGCACTCCAGCCCGGGTAACAGAGCAAGACTCCGTCTCAAAAAAAAAATAATAATAAAATAAAATAAAATAAAAAACCACAATGAGATACCGTATCACATCAGTTAGAATGGTGATCAGGAAACAACAGCTGCTGGAGAGTATGTGGAGAAATAGGAACACTTTTAAACTGTTGGTGGGACTGTAAACTGGTTCAACCATTGTAGAAGGCAGTGTGGCCATTCCTCAAGGATCTAGAACTAGAAATACCATTTGACCCAGCAATCCCATTACCGGGTATATACCCGAAGGATTATAAATCATGCTGCCATAAAGACACATGCACACGTATGTTTACTGCAGCACTATTCACAATAGCAAAGACTTGGAACGAATCCAAATGTCCATCAATGACAGACTGGATTAAGAAAATATGGCACATATACACCATGGAATACTATGCAGCCATAAAAAAGAATGAGTTCATGTCGTTTGTAGGGACATGGATGCAGCTGGAAACCATCATTCTCAGCAAACTGTCACAAGAACAGAAAACCAAACACCGCGTGTTCTCACTCATAGGTGGGAAATGAACAATGAGAACACTTGGACACAGGAAGGGGAACATCATACACCGGGGCCTGTCATGGGGTGTGGGGAAGAGGGTAGTGATAGCATTAGGAGATATATCTAATGTAAATGACGAGTTAATGGGTGCAGCACACCAACATGGCACATGTATACATATGTAACAAACCTGCATGTTGTGCACATGTACCCTAGAACTTAAAGTATAATAAAAATAAATAAATAAATATATAATGAAAAAATAATAATAATTTTAATTGTAAAAAATCAATAAAAGTAGACAAATATAATGATAATATAACAATATAGGTTTCATTAGTTATAACCAATGTACCATATTAATATGTTAATAATAGGGTAAACTGGGTGCAGGGTACATGGGAATTTTCTGTACTGTCTTTGTATTTTTTGTAAATCTAAACTGTTTTTAAAATAATGTTTTTTTTAATGAAAATTCCAAAATAAATACTATTCATAGAAGTGGAGAAAAAATAGAATTAAAAAAAGTTCAAAAATACAAAATGATTACTACATAAAATAAAGAGAGTGAGAAATACAAGGTAAGGATTCTGTTTGATGATGGTGGGGAGGGAAGACAGTATAATCAGACAGGGATCCATTCTGTTCCTTCAACCATATAAGGGTTCAAAAGTATACACTGTATTATTTTTTCACCTTCACATTTTTAATAAATGTTTTTATCTAGTCAATTAAAAATAAAGAGAAGATAAGCATTAGTCCACTAGTGACAAACCAGGAACGGCAAAGGAGGGCATCCACCACCTAATTGGTCTTGGGATGGGACGAGAGCTGGGATTTGTCCCATCACCCCCTGAGTATTCTGAGGTGATCCTGATGGAGGAACTTACTCAATAAACTGAATCTCAGTCTCCATGAACACACAGCAGACCCAGTGTTGCTTCCCCTCACCCCCCGCAGTGAATCACATCTATTCTAAATAGTTCATTGATTAAGCTTCAAGTGAGTAGATTTTCCCAGCAGCTTAATGGAAATTTCAGTGTAAAGACCTTGACAGCTTCAACGCAAATTTGCAGAGGGCTCCTTGCCTTCCATATTGAGAGTGGGGTCCTGGAAGGATTGCTGCAGATGCTATAGGGGAGGGTCTCTATTCGGGTAAAATGCTATGGAAAGGGCAGTTAAGGAGAAAGGGTGACATAAGAAGAGAAAGATATTGTGATTTGTTTAGAAGCTGCTAAGCCTCTGGCTAATCCTGAGGGTCTATGTTTTATGTAGTTTTAGGAGTGGCAATGCATCTAAAGACATTTTATTTATTTAATTTGTATGGCCAGGCTTGGTGGCTCACGCCTGTAATCCAGCACTTTGGGAGGCCGAGGAAGGTGGATCATGAGGTCAGAAGATCAAGACCATCCTGGTTAACGCAGTGAAACCCTATCTCTACAAAACATACAAAAAATTAGCCGGGCGTGATGGCATGTGCCTGTAGTCCCAGCTACTCAGGAGGATGAGGCATGCTTGAACCCTGGAGGCGGAGCTTGCAGTGAGCCAAGATTGCGCAACTGCACTCAAGCCTGTGCGACAGAGCAAGACTCTGTCTCAAAAAAGCATATATATAAATACATACATACATAAAATAAAAATAAAAAAACTATTAGGGCTAGCTAGGGTTTTCTTCCTCTTCTGAGGCTTCACATCACATCAGCTGCAAGGCTTACTGCCTCACTGCCTTCCCCAGCACCCATAGTCAACCACCCCCGGACTCCCTGGGGCCACCTGCACAAAAGCATATGCTTCTCAGATAATGGAAATTTTATTCTAAATGCTTATTTTAGACACAGAAAGATCCACTCTCTTATGCCCGTGTGGTTGATGTGCCTGCTCTGACCTGTGGTTTTTGCACAGTTGAAGGGTCATACTGTCCCTCTCTCTGCCTTCAAGGAGGACCAAACTACCTTCCCCCATTTCTCTCTCTCCCTCTTTTTTCTTTTTGAGATGGAGTCTCGCTCTGTCACCCACACTAGAGTGCAGTGGTGTGATCTCAGCTCACTACAACTTTCGCCTCCTGGGTTCAAATGATTCTCATGCCTCAGCCTTCCAAGTAACTGGGACTACAGCCAAGCACCACCATGCCCAGCTAATTTTTTTTTTTTTTTTCCAGTAGAGATGAGGTTTCACCATGCTGGCCAGGCTGGTCTTTAACTCCTGACCTCCAGTCCAGTGATCTGCCCACCCTGGCCTCCCAAAGTGCTGGGATTACAGAGGCATGAGCCACAGTGCTTGGCCTACCTTACCCCATTTCTGATGGCTCATCTCATCTCCAAATAACCTACTGGAGGTCTGGTGGGTGTTATGATGAGAGAAAGGGGAGGAATGTGGTCACTGTGAAAAGACACATGGGCCCTGCCATTGAGGAGGCCTCAAGCAAATAGAAAACATTCAGAGACAGGGACAAAGGTTCCCAGAAGGCCACCTGGAACTGAAGGGAGAGGCTGTAGCCTCTATATTGCCCCTATTCCTGAGTCTCCTCAGGTTTCTCAAGATATCGGATGCCTCCTGTCTCTAATTTCCTCAGGATCAGTGGCTTGAGCTTTGGCTATGAGCCTAAGCCCTGAGCTGACTGCTGGATCCTCTGGGAATAGATTTTCTTTTTCCTCTACTGTTTCCCAGTGGACTCTCCCTGCCTTGTACTCATATTTCCACTGAGACTGAGCAGCCTTAGTCATGCTCCAGAAGCAGAGAGCTGACACGAGTCTAGAGAAATTTGCATGCATATTTGTGTGGGGTTTGGATAGTCAGAGCCTACTAGAGACTAATCTGATATCTAACTTGGTGCCATGACTAATCTTCCTTCTCTGTCTCACTACCTTCTAGTCACTAGAAACATATAAGTGTTGGAATGGGCAGGACATTTGAATTCTCATCGTTGATTCCCCAGTGATTTTCTATCGGCCTTAAAACAACATCCCACCTTCTGTCCCCAGTTGCATCACCAGTGAAAAGGGTGGTTGTTGCACTGACCTTTCCCAGAGTGTACATGAAGGCCAGCTGGCTATCAGACAATGACATGCTTTGAAAGTCCCCTGACCTCTGTGAGGTCAGTTGAGAACAGCTGAGAGTGCTACCATTTTGTCACAGCCCTAAGGATGCAGATTATGCTGAAAGCGTGTTGTCCAAATCTGAATGATGAAAGCCGATTACAAACTTGAAAATGAAAATAGACCCCAGACGCAAGGAGATGAGACAGTTAGATTTACTTCCTCTTTTCTAATCAAAGAGGTTTCATGTTGAAGAAAATCATTGTTGGGATTGCAGGAGACCCAAACACAGTCACCATGAAGCTGGGCTGTGTTCTCATGGCCTGGGCCCTCTACCTTTCCCTTGGTGTGCTCTGGACATCCCAGATGCTACTAGGTAAGTAAAATATTTGAATATTGGTGTGGGAATGGAGCTTTGCTTAACTTTGGGGAAAGGACCTGAAGGAAAGGAACATGGACTAATTCTGGCCCTCCAGAGAAGCAGTGTTCAGGTGGAATAAGAAGGGTAGGTATAAGAAAGTTTGGTGTGCAGGATTGAATGACTTTCTGAATATAAAAATCTTCAAGCCTTTTCCATCCTGAAAGTCCCCTCTGACCATGATGTCCTCTCTAGCTGTAATCTCAACTCTTTTCTTTCACTTATGAGGCAAATTTTCTTAAAAGAATAGTCCGCACTTGCTATCTCCACTTCCTCACTTCTCACACACTCCTCAATGCTTGCAGCCTGGCTTCCACTGGAATCGGTTTTGTCTAGGGCACAATGACCTCCATATTGACTGGGTTATGGCATGCTTTTCAGTTCATATCCTGCTGGACTTCTCTGCTGCACTGTTTATCACTTACTCCTTTTTGCATTCTCTACTACCCTGGCTTCCATGGCACCATTTTCTCCTCGTACTACATGGACTTCTCTTGATCCCTTAATAGCTTCTCTTCTCTTCCCCTTAAACACTAGTGTTCTCTATAGTCATAGCCTTGCCTCTGTACTCCTCTTTCTTTAGACAATCTCCTTCATAAGCTTATTTGTCTATATAATTTTTGCCACTATAACTCTGTATTTAAGAGTCCCAAATCATATCCCCAATCTAACCATGCTTTTGAGCTTCACATTCAAATATCACGCTTCATACCAGACATATCTACCTACGTATCTCACAGGTGTCTCTGCACCATGTGACCAGAGCTGAACTTATCTGTCCTTTTGCCCCCCGCCTCGTCTAATTCATTTTCCACTATTTCTGATCTCAGCTAATGACACCAGCATCTACCCTTACAAGGCCATAAACCTGAGAAACAATCCAGACTCTTCCTTCTTCATTCTCTAAATCTGATCAATCATTAGGTTTGGCAAGTTTTACCTTCTAAATTGCTCATAGAAGCAGTCCCTTCAGTGGATCATCGCTAATGTCTTAGGACAAGCCCTCATCCTCTATGACTTGGGCTAGTCCAGTAAATTCCTAACTAATCTCCTTGCCCAAACCTTGTGTTCTTGAAATGCATTCTGTACCCTGCAGACAGAGTAATTTCTAAAACTCAAGTTTACCAGCCCAAATTCCTTATCATGGCACAAAAGGCCAAGCAGCCTCTGCTTTTACCCTCTCAGCCTTGTAACTTATGCTCTAATAAATCTCAATCAGTTCATAGTTACATACTCACACACCAGACTCTTGCCTGTCTCTAAGGCTTTGCTTATACCACCATCTCCACCTGAAATGAGCTCTTTCGATGGCCCCCTATTCTCCTCCTCCTTGCAAATGTGTAGGTACCCCTAAAGACTCAGCTTTCAGCTTAAGTGGTATCTTTTCCAGGCAGCTTTTCTTGAATGATTCTTTCTGCTCCAATGGCTGCTTGCGACACATTTTCTTACTATAATATTTTCCTACTTATGCTGAAATAATATTTTCATCTACCTGTGTCTTCCACTAAATTGAGAGCTACTTGTGGTTAGGGACAATGTTTTTTTTTTGTTTTTGTCTTGTGATAAGAACTTCAGACTTGGAATCAGATACTCTGGTTTCAAGCCCCTCTTCTATGTACCAGCTCTATGTCACTCTAGAAAATCACTTTTTATATCTCTGGTTCAGTTTTACCATTTGTAAAATGAAAATAATAGTACCTACTACCTAAGGTTTATTAGTTAATGTGAGACCAATAAAACATGGCCCTTGAGAGAGTTCAGGCTTTTCAATCAAAACAGGGTGATGAAGACATACAGAGGCAGAGATTTCAGAAAGGCATTATAACCCCAAACAGTGGCCCCATTTTTCTGCCAACAAGCTCAAGCTCCACAGCACAGCACACATGGTTCACACTATTTCTCTACCTTCCCAGGCCATCTACCCTCCAACCTTACATTCCAGTCATGGTAGACTACTGGCTGTTTATTGAGTGAGTTCCCAGTAACCCAACAAGATTTTATTTTATTTTGTTTTTTGAGACAGGGTCTCACTCTGCCACCCTGGCTGGAGTGCAGTGATGCAATCACTGCTCACTGCAACCTTGACCTCTTGGGCTTGAGCAGTTGTCCTAGCTCAGCCTCCCAAGTAGCTGGGACCACAGGCAAGTGCCACCATGCCTGGCCAATTTTTAAAAAATTATTTGTTAAGCCAGGATCTCTCTATGCTCCCTAGGCTGGTCTCAAACTCCTGGGCTCAAGGGATCCTCCCACCTCAGTCTCCCAAAGTGCTGTGATTATAAGCATGAGCCACCATGCCTGGACAAGATTTTATTTTTAAAAAGAAAAAATGGAGAGGAGGCAGAGCACAGTTGGGTGACAGTGGAGGAACTGAAAAGAGGTAGCATTACAGTGAAGGGAGCTGAGAGAGGATGGAAAGAAAACACCTGGTACCACTGTGATGAGAATTAGGAAGTAGAGAGGGGCCTTGGTAATCAAAGAAGAACGCTGGGCTATTGGGAGTGCAAGAGAATAAAGGCAAGTGGGGCACGAAATGACAGTCGGATGGAGTGAAGAAGTATGCACATGTGAATGGTCATGAGGCTGGAGGAAGGGGAGAATAGTTAGGGAAATAAGGAGCAGTCCCAGAGAAGGAAGACATGTCACTTCCCTTGCCTGGGTCTACCATGAAGGTAAGAGATAGGTTGAGAAGATGTGGTGAGAAATGGATGACTCTAAATTTCAATCTGGAGAAAAGAGTTGTTCCACAGTTACTGGTATGGACTGAAAGGAGGGGGAAGAGACAGAGAAAGCTCTATGCCACTACCAGGGAAAATTCAAGTGGCAGAGGACATTAAAGTAGAGATGGCTGAAAAGTGAAGACCTGAAAGGGGGAGGAAGAAAGGAGGAGAGACACCGCTGGGTACTGAAAGCTCTTTGATAGATAACATATTCAAGGCTGAGGAGCCAAGTGAAGTTTGGGAAAATCAGAATATGAAAGAAAGTCCCCGAGGAAGGTCTGAGGACTGAAGTATACCATAGTACCATATCTGCACAGTGAAGTAAAAAGAACACTGATTTTGGATTCAGACATACCTGCCTTTCCCGCTCCATTGCTTAGTCTCTTTTTAAGCTTTGGGTATATTAATTTGGCTTTCTTTTCTTTCTTGCTTTCTTTTTTTTTTTTTGAGACAGAGTCTCACTCTGTTGCCCAGGTTGGAGTACAGTGGCACGATCTCGGCTCACTGCAAGCTCCACCTCCCAGGTTCACACCATTCTCCTGCCTCAGCCTCCCGAGTAGCTGGGACTACAGGTGCCCACCACCACGCCTGGCTAATTTTTTTGTGTGTTTTCGGTAGAGATGGGGTTTCACAGTGTTAGCCAGGATGGTCTCGATCTCTTGACCTCATAATCCGCCCACCTCGGCCTCCCAAAGTGCTGGGATTACAAGCATGAGCCACCACGCCAGGCCTAATTTGGTTTTCTAAGTGTGTTTCTTTAAGAGTATTAAATGAGGATAAAGCCACATACCTGGAAAGTTTGTGAAGATGAAGTAAGATATTGCAAACAAGTGCTAGCAGGGTCTGGTACCCAATGAACATTAGAATCTGATGTCTCCCTTTCATTCCTGTCCTATGCCTCCCCTGCTTCGAGTTACCATTGTCTTTGCTCCTGGTTTCCCGTACCAGCAGCTGGATGTCATGCTGGTGAGTTTCACCATTCTTTCATTCTCTCCCCTCCCTCTTCTCCAAACCACAGTGCATTTGCTGAGAGCACCTGGGCGCCCGTGAATCAAGGTCAAAACTATCCCCCTGAGACACTCACAGGGGTCTTTCTGAAAAAAAGGTTTTGGTGTCTTACTAGTCTCATTCTAAGAAGGATGATTCTCCTGGGAGATGGAGGAACCCTGTCCTCTTTCTCTAAGTTGCAGCATCATTTTCTGATTCTCCCTGGGCCATCCCCTCTTCAGCTGCCAGTTTTGAGACGCTGCAGTGTGAGGGACCTGTCTGCACCGAGGAGAGCAGCTGCCACGTGGAGGATGATTTGACTGATGCAAGGGAAGCTGGCTTCCAGGTCAAGGGCTACACCTTCAGTGAACCCTTCCACCTGATTGTGTCCTATGGTGAGGTCCTGGGAAGACCTGAACAATGCCCTAAACCCCTTCTTTCAGCCCCAGAGCCCACCCAGGAACGTGTCCCTAGGAAACTGGCCATGGGATGAGGTACTTCCTTCCCAGTCTTCAGCCCACAGCAACCAGGGTGCTCGAAGTCCTAGGCCCTAGGGAAGTTGTCCCATACTCCCAACCAGGGGTGAGAGTTTACCTGGACCCTCAGAGAAAGTTTGCGGGAGTAGGCATCCCTGGGGGTAGCTCCCAAGGGAGGCCCTGGGTGACACTCAGCTCTTTCTCTGGACCATAGACTGGCTGATCCTCCAAGGTCCAGCCAAGCCAGTATTTGAAGGGGACCCGCTAGTTCTGCGCTGCCAGGCCTGGCAAGACTGGCCACTGACTCAGGTGACCTTCTACCGAGATGGCTCAGCTCTGGGTCCCCCCGGGCCTAACAGGGAATTCTCCATCGCCGTGGCACAAGAGGCAGACAGCGGGCACTACCACTGCAGTGGCATCTTCCAGAGCCCTGGTCCTGGGAGCCCAGAAACAGCATCTGTTGTGGATATCACAGTCCAAGGTGAGAGCTAGAAGCAGCATCTTCATGGCAGGGGAGGGTAAGGAGAGACAGGGAACCCAAATTGTCTTTCTTTAGCCTAGAGGTGGCAAGATCATCAAAAGATTATGGAGCAGGTTGCTGGCAAATGCCCAAGTTGGGCTTCAAAAGGGACGAGACCTCAACATTGCCTTTTCAAGTCATCCAGCCCTACTCAGAGTCCAGCATGGTTCCTACCACCCAGATCTATGCTTCCCAGCGCTCACTGATTGGGTGTCTGGACTACTATCAGATTTGCCCATCTGTGGATCTTTCCTAGTCCTGTCTACTTGCAGGAAGAATTTGACAGATTCAAATGGAATCTAAGACAGCCCATTCCTGCTGGAAACGGGAAAGGAAGTGTGACTCCCCGAGGCTCTTTGCCTGCATGTGTCTACCTGTATATAAGATGGCTGAGTTCTTCTTTCTTGCCTTTTTCCCAGAACTGTTTCCAGCGCCAATTCTCAGAGCTATACCCTCAGCTGAACCCAAAGCAGGAGGCCCCATGACCCTGAGCTGTCAGACAAAGTTGCCCCTGCAGAGGTCAGCTGCCCGCCTCCTCTTCTCCTTCTACAAGGATGGAAGGACAGTGCAAAGCAGGGGGCTCTCCTCAGAATTCCAGATCCCCACAGCTTCAGAAGATCACTCTGGCTCATACTGGTGTGAGGCAGCCACTGAGGACAACCAAGTTTGGAAACAGAGCCCCCAGCTAGAGATCAGAGTGCAGGGTGAGTTCGTATCAGAGTGCAGGGTGTCTGTTTGGCATGCATGTGAGTGAAAAGGGGAGATAGGATGAATTGGCCTGTGAGCTGGGATTCGGTGTGAGCAGGTCAAGAAGGGACACAGAAAAGACAGGAACAATGGGCCAGGATCCCTGATGATGAGAGACAGCACAAATAGAGAACTTCTCCCTCAGACTGTGGTGTACACCTCACCAGTCCAAGAGCTGAGCCAGCTCCACACCTGCTGCCACGCAAGCCTTAGCATCCCCCCATGCTCTCTGGGCATTTAGAGGAATTTAATATCTGGAATGAAGATGGGATAGTCTGAAGTCTATGTTCAATTCTGGGAGGCACTGTTAAGAGGCTGCCCCTGACCTGAAACACTCCCAGAGGAGGTATCCAGGGTGATAAGGGGGCTTGAAGTCATGCCATATGAAAAATAATGGAAGGGGCTGGAGATGCTATCCTGAATAGGAGGTGACTCAGAGGCCAGCAGGGGTGTCCTCAAAAAGCTGAAGGCTGGCATTAGCACAAGGAATTAGACTAATGTCATATATAATAAAGAGGCTGACCTAGAACCAGTTACCACATTCATGCTTCAGGGAATTAAATTCAGCCTTGATAGAGAAAGAACTGGCTAATGGTCCAGTGGTAAAGCCTCACTGCTGAAGAATTTCAAACAGAGGTGGCCAAGCTTCAGATTAAAATTTGGACCAGGAGGGACACTAGAGTCCTCAAGTCCCTGCTGCCATTGAGTCCTACAGCCACTTTCAGAGAACAAGGAAGTTTGGCCAGGGATGGGAGGGAAGGGCCAGAGTCAGACTTCACTCTTGTGTGTGCCTCCTGCCCCGTAATCCAGGTCCCTCCGGCTCTGCACCTCTCACCTTGAATCCAGCTCCTCAGAAATCAGCTGCTCCAGGAACTGCTCCTGAGGAGGCTCCTGGGCCGTTGCCTCCACCGCCAACCCCATCTTCTGAGGATCCAGGCTTTTCTTCTCCTCTGGGGATGCCAGATCCCCATCTGTATCACCAGATGGGCCTTCTTCTCAAACACATGCAGGATGTGAGAGTTCTCCTCGGTCACCTGCTTATGGAGTTGAGGGAATTATCTGGCCACCGGAAGCCTGGGACCACAAAGGCTACTGCTGAATAGGAGTAAACAATTCGTCCATGATCTCACTTAACCACCCCAATAAATCTCATTCTTTCTATGTTTTCTCTTCCTATCCTGCACATATGCATAAGTACTTTTACAGGTTGTCCCAGTGTTTTGTTAGAATAATGTAGATAGGTGAGTGTAAATAAATTTGTACAAAGTGAGAATTGGAGTTTGGTTATAATTGCGTATTCTCTCTTAACACAACAGAATTCTGCTCTTTAGATCAGGAATTTCTATCTGTTATGTAGACCAGAATTTTGTGATTTAAAGAGAACTGCCGGGCGCGGTGGCTCACGCCTGTAATCCCAGCACTTTGGGAGGCCGAGACTGGCAGATCACGAGGTCAGGAGATCGAGACCACCCTGGCTAACATGGTGAAACCCCGTCTCTACTAAAAATACAAAAATTAGCAGGGCGCGGTGGCGGGCGCCTGTAATCCCAGCTACACGGGAGGCTGAGGCAGGAGAATGGCGTGAACCGGGGAGGCGGAGCTTGCAGTGAGTGGAGATCGCACCACTGCACTCCAGCCTGGGCGACAGAGCGAGACTCCTTCTCAAAAATAAAATAAAATAAAATAAAATAAAATAAAGAGAACTAATGCAGGTGGATTTAATACAGCAGTCTCAATTGGGGGCAATTTTGCTCCCCAGACGACATTGGGCAATGCTAGGAGACATTTTGGTCATTATACTTGGGGGGTTGAGGGGTGGTGGGATGTGTATACTACTGGCATCTAGTAAATAGAAGCCAGGGATGCTGCTAAACATCCTATAATGCATAGGGCAGTACCCCACAGCAAAAAATAATCTGGCCCAAAACGTCAGTTGTATTGAGTTTGAGAAACCCCAGCCTAATGAAATCCTAAGTGTTGGGCTCTGGAATGGGACTTTGCCCTTTCTAATTACTATCTCTTTCCAGCCTCATTCAGCTATTCTTATTGACATACTAGTCTTTAGTTGGTGCGATGGTCTGTTCTTTAGTTCTAGTTTGTGTCCCCTCAAAAGCCATATGTTGAAATCCTAATCCCCAATGTGATGGCATTAAGAAGTGGGCCTTTGGGAAGTGATTAGATCAGGAGGGCAGGGCCCTCATGATTAGGATTAGTGCCCTTATTTAAAAAGGCCCCAGAGAGCTAACTCACCCTTCTACCATATGAGGACATGGCAAGAAGATGACGTATATGAGAACCAAAAAACAGCTCCCACTGAACACCGACTCTGTTGTTGCCTTGATCTTGAACTTCCAGCCTCCAGAACCATGAGAAATAAATTTCTATTGTTTGTAAGCTATTCAGTTTGTGTATTTTGTTATAGCAACCCAAATAGACTAGGCAGTTGGCCTCTGCTACATGGCTGAGTTTATGATATGTTAAAAATACTCATAAAACAGTGTCTCTGTCTACAGAGGGCTTACACTGTGGGATAGAAGAGAATAGTAGCCCATCCTATAACACAATTAAAGCAGGGTATGTAAAAATTTCCCACAGGATCCTACTGGGCTCAGAAATAAGTGACCGAATATAATATTGCCAGAGTTGCAGATAGTTGTTTTTAATTCATCTGTCTCTGAAATCTTTTTCTTTAATAACACATAATGACTCTGTTTTAGTCTCGTATTAATACTTTTTTCTATGCTTGGACTTCTATTGTACATTCTCAGCCAATGAGAGCTGGCCTGGCAGACTCTATAGTAACCTTAACTCAATCAGTTAGCACACCATTTTATGATGACCTCAACCAATGGCTGTTCTACCATGTTATTCTAAATTATACGGTGTGATTTTCTCCATTGTGGCCTTTCTTTGTGCCATTTATTATGTGCAGTTTTGACCCAAAATGATTTATAAAAGACATGCACATGATCATTCTAGACATGCCACAAAGAAACAAAGACATAGAATCATGCTGATGGTAAAATGAGAGTTTTATGGTAGTTCTTAGCACCTTTGAGGGGAAAAAAAGATCAGCAGGCATCTGGGAATTGGTAGAAGTCCGTAAACATCACTACAGCCTGAGATGACTGATTTACAATTGTATGAATGGGAGTTGCAAGAGTGACCAGAACTATGTCATGACTTTGATGGACTTGAAAAAATGGAAGCTCAATTGCCAGTGTACCACGGTGGATGTGTCTCCAAAGATGCTGTATTATAACCACTCTACATGGAGTTGCTTTCAGCTAATGCTCCCATATGCATGAATGCATCCTGCAAGCTCCTGCTAAATGGGGAATTCATTTACAGATAGTAGAAGCTATCAGAGATCTGGGAAGGAAAAGGTGGATGCAGTTGGCTGAGATAAATATCATCTCTGTACACCTCATCCATGTGTATCTGTGCACCTCTATCATCACACTGCATTTTAATTTTTTATTACTCATTTTTGTTCACCAGAGGGTGAGCTCTTTGAAAATACTCCTGAGCTCTTTGTTCCATGTTGTGTCATTGATGTCTAGTTTAATGAGGCATATGTAAATTCTCAGTATATTTTGTTTAGTTGAATTGAGTTGGGCCAGCAAAATAAGGGAAAACATCTTGAAGAGGATGGGAATGAAGCTGGACCTTAAAGGATGAATGTTATATCTGGCATCAGCTAAATCTCTAGACTCTCTCCAGGGGACCCAGCCTTGGTCAAGGACTTAGAAACCTCAGTAAGAGGATCTCCTATCAACAGGGATGAGGAAGGCAAGAACAGAGCTAAACGAATGAGAGAGACAGAAAGGGAGAGCAAGCATTTACCTATCTCTTTCTGTCTAGCCTGGGGAGGTTGGAGAGGGAGTAGGGAAGAGGAACTGTTAAAATGGATCTGGTTTATGGCTTGTGCCATTTAAGATTCTGTAATTGACAGAGGTCCCAATGCAGCTATGCTCAACATTGTCTCTGAAATAAACATTAGATAGCCAGCACATGAAAGGAAAATTGTTCTCCACTCACAATACCTCTGACATCAAATATGTGGGTTTCCATTCCAAGTTTTTCTCTGCTTCTCAGTGGAAACCAACTAGATGTTCCACAGTTTATCAGTTCTGGCTCTAACTACCCAGAATTAGCACAGACCCCATAGGTTAAGGGGTCAGTACCACATGACTTCTCTCACTTCAAAAGCCAATTGCAAATCCCAGGCCTCTGGTACTTGACACCGACGAGCTATAAGTCAGAGGTTCTCACAACTCCTTGGGTTCAATAATTTGCTAGAATGGCTCACAAAACTTGGGAAAACAGTTTACTTAACAGCCAATGGCAATATACGTAGGGCAAGGTAAGTGGGAAGAGGTGCAGCGTTGGCATGCTTTCTGGGTGTGCCACCCTCCAGCTTCTCCATGTGTTCACTGACCTGGAAGCCCTCAGGACTCCACCATTTAGGGTTTTTAATGAGGGCTTCATTACACAGGCATGATTGATTAAATCACTGGCAATTGATGATTAACTCAAACACCAGCCCCTCTCTCCTCCAGGAGGTCAAGGTGAGTTTTCCACACCAAGCAATTCTCTAATTCTCAGCAGAAACAAATTAGATGTTGTGTAATTTACCAATTCTTACTCTAACTACTCAGAGTTAGCACAGACCCCTGAAAGTTCCAACCCTATAATTGCAGAGTTAAGAGTCACCTTATTAGCATAAAGTCAGGTATGATTGAAGGGGCTAATTATACATAACAAGATACACAACTCCTCTCATCCCTATCCCTCAGGAAATCCCCAGGATTTTGGTAGCTCTGTGCCAAAGAGCTACCCAAACTGGCAGAGAAAAGTATATATTTCTTAATGTGTTACACACATCCATTATCTTGTAAGCTGAATAGTGTATATGCATACTCTATAACCCAGAATTCCATGCCTAGGAGGATGTGCCCAAGAGAAAATTTAGCATATGCACACCAGACAACAGGTATGATAATGTTTATAGTAACAAAACTTGTAAAAGCAAAATTTGGTATTGAAATACCTTTCTTTTGTTGAAAAGAAATCAGTGCAGATATCCACCAACAGGAAAATGAGTAAATTACCATGTTAATTTGTTTCAAAGCATATTAAACACCAAACTCTATCAATAGGATTTTGTACTACCAGCTATGCATTTGGAAGTGGAGATGATGATGAACAAGACAGGAACTCAGGGAATAGATCACTCACTGGGGATTGGAGTGTTCAGGCACATTTTATGAAGAAGATAATACATGGGCGGGGCCTTGAAAAACATGACAGACCTAGAGAACAGGAGAAGACAGGGAAGGATGTTCCAGAGTGGGATGATGTAAGCAAGCGCATAAAGGGGAAAATTGGCATGCAGATGTCAGGGAAAAAGAAGGTAAATCCTTTGACTGAAACAGAGTTTGGTGGAAGGAAATAATAATGGAGAAGTAAACAGACTATAGAGGCTCTTAAATGTGCTACAGAAGCTCTTTAAATGTCCATAAGAAAATTGATCGAATTCTGTAGGTAAATTTCGAGTGAAGGTAAATTCTGTAGGTAAATTTCGAGTGAAGAAGAAACTCATGAAAAGTGATGTTTAGTATGATTATTCTGGTACTCTAGTACAAGGTGAATGGGATGACTAGAAGAGGGGTTGAGGGAGGTAGATTTGAAGGCTGTTGTTCTCATCCAGACTTCACAGACAAGGGCCTTAGCTAGGGACAGGAGGCATACAGAGTAATGATCTGAGAGGTGTTAACAGGTCTGGGTGATCAGATATGGAGTAGCATTGCTCCTCTCAAACACAAAGGTCTCTATGCAAAGCCCAGTAGCCCAAGGTAGAAAAACTTGGTTCAGTTACAACTTAGAAGAGACTAGGGAAGGGATAAAATGACTTGCTAGAATCATAGGAGGAAGTTTAAGGAGGGTGTGTTTGGATAGGCCTTATCCTAGTCCTGTCTTCTTAAAACTTTTCCTCCCTCTTGGTATCAACCTTCTTCCTTCCCACTGGACAAGAGGAGATGTGGAGAAATACAAGTTACAGCACAGCCTTCCTGCCAGAGTTCCTTCAGACAGGCACTGTTAGTTTTCATTAACTATATGTGAATTTCTCATAAAGCGAAAGACATTCAATGTAAAGAAGTACTCTGCTCTCTATTCTGAAATTGTCCTTTGCACTCGTTTGGTACTGAAATGCCTTTCTTTTGCTGAAAAGTTTACATTAAAGAATATAATTTTAGGCCGAGCATGGTGGCTCACGCCTGTAATCCCAACGCTTTGGGAGGCTGAGGTGGGTGGATCACCTGAGGTCAGGAGTTTGAGACTAGCCTGACCAACATGGAGAAACCCCATTTCTACTAAAAATACAAAATTAGCCAGGCCTGGTGGCACATGCCTGTAATCCCAGCTGCTTGGGAGGCTGAAGTGGGAGAATTGCTTGAATCCGGGAGGCAGAGGTTGCAGTTAGCCAAGATCGCACCATTGCACTCCAGTCTGCGCAAGAAGAGTGAACGAAACTCCATCTCAAAAAAAAAAAAAAAAAAGAATAGTAATTTAAAAAAATATATTATTATCAGCCCTGTCCTGGGTTACAGAAAATAAATAAAATAAAAATAATTTTAAAATGTTCTTATTTAGGAAAAGAAAAACTTGTTTGGTAAAATTACAAAGATAAGAAATACTGAATATTGATGACAAGAGGGAACAGGAGCCCTATGAATTGCCGGTGGGTGTATAAGCTTCTGCAGCCACTTTTGAGAGTAATCTCACAGTATTCAATCTCTTCCTTTGTTTAGGTCACAAATACTCACACAGCATGTGCTATGTGCTGTCACTGTTGTAGGTGATACATCAGCGAATGAGAAAAAATTCCTGCCTCAGTGGAGCTTCCATTCCAATGGGGGAAAACCTACCACAAACAAATAAATACAATTCCAGGTAGTGACAAGTACAACGATGAGAAATAAAGCAAAATATGGAGCCAGCCAATGACAGTGAGGAGATACTGTTTTAGACAGCATGGTTAGCGACCATCTCTCTGAGGAGGTAATATTTGAGTGAAGTGAGGAAGTGAAACTTATAAAGATCTGGGAGGAGAACAAGGATCTTTCAGGCAGAAAGAACAGCAAGTGAGGCCCTGGAGCAAGACTAAGCACGGAATGTTCCAGCAACTGTTCTAAACACAATGTGGCTAGATCAGAGTGAGTGAGGGCAACAGTCATAGGAAATGAGGCCAACGGTCAGAGAAAGGCCCGATTTGTAGGGCCCTGTAGACCATCGGAAGGTGTTTGGAACTTATTCTGAGGGTACCTTTGCGGAATTTTGAGGGAAAGTAACACAACATGGTTAACATTTTAAAAGTATCTCTCTAGTGACTCAGCGAATAAATTACTGTATGAAAAGATCAGTGTAGCAGGTAGAGTCATCAGGACTTGCTGATGAATTAGATTTGGGTTTTAGAATGAGTGTGCATGTAACTCATGAGCATAATCTGCAGTCTCGCTCTCAGGTGTGTATCCCATAGAGGCACTTCAGGGCTCTGTAGGGAAGCATCATGTCCTTACCAGCACTAACTTACATGAAACCTCCTATGTGCCAAGCCCTGTCCTAAGCCCTTTACATATGTTAATTCATCCAGCCCTCACAATATGTACCAAGAAGTCCACTGTGGAATTGTCTGTGGTAGCTGAGGGTGGGCAGCAATTAGGATGTTAAGGGAATGGACAAGTGCAGTGTAGCAGAAGCAAAGAATATTAGGGCTATCATGGCCAGGGGCGGTGGCTCATGCCTATAATCCCAGCACTTTGGGAGGCCAAGGTGGGTGGGTCATCTGAGGTCAGGAGTCTGAGACCAGCCTGGCCAACACGGTGAAACCCCATCTCTACTAAACACAAAATTAGCCGGCGTAGTGATGCATGCCTGTAATCCCAGCTACTCAGGAGGCTGAGGCAGGAGAATCGCTTGAACCCAGGAGGTGGAGGTTGCAGTCAGCTGATATCATGCCATTGCATGCCAGACTGGGTGATAAGAGCAAAACTCCGTCTCAAAAAAAAAAAAAAAAAAAGAATATTAGGGCAGTCAAAAGCAATAAACATGATGCATGTAGAGCAATCTGAACAAATTTGAAACATCTAGGATTAATTTTTAAAAGTAAAAGTGAATATAATATCTAGAACACAATGCCACTTATGTAAATTAACAACACTAAATATTTCTCAAAGATAAAAATTGCATGTATATGGGAATATACAGTAAATATTGTACAGTGGGAGCTTATGTGGAGGGGATGAGAACAGTAATGTGGATGAAAGTCAACAAGGTAAGACAATAAGAGGGGGAACTTGCAAAGACCAATAACGGCAGCCGGCCATGAGCAGCATCTTGAATCCCTGACAATCAGAGAGACAGGAGAACAGATTTTGGAGACAGACTTCTACTCAAATCCCAGTTTCATCATCTCAGTAGGAAACTGAGGTGATGAGGACATATGCAAAATGGGGATATTAATAATTCTTCCTCAAAGGGCCTTACAAGAATTAAGTGAAGTAATATCTATGAAGCACTTAGCATAGTGCCTGCCACATGCCGAGACACTAAAGTGAGCTGTCATCAGCAACAACAGCATTAGTTCATTACCATAATTATCACTGAGAACATTTCATCACCAGAATGCTTATCAAATGGTAACATATATTGTCCAGATATTGTGTTGTGATAGGCCTCAAAGAATTGCTCAAGTTACAAATGATAATTTCTAAATTTTTCTGCATTGTAAAGGAGTGAAGAATTAGAAATTCTGGGGAAAAGTCCTAGATGGAGTAAGAAGACTCACTTTGGGAAAAACTTAGAGGACAGCCTAGAATAAAGAAATATTTGGTGGGAAATTTTTCAGGTCAAATTCTGAGCACTGTATAATATGAACACTATGGATGGTTCCAGAGATTTCTAGGGAAGACTGTACAGTTCACAAAGTTTTGGTGTACTCAGGTTTCTTCTGAATCCAGTAAAGGGGCTGACATCTGTGCTCTGGGGGATGAGAAGCCAAAATAGAGCCAGCTTCTGTTGCCTAAGAGGACAGCTGACAACTGCATTGCATTCTTACCATACTGGTGGTGGCGTGGTGCAGAAGTCAGACCTCTGTGGCAGGCTGTGGATCATGTGGAAAGCCACATACTGGCCCCGAGATGAAGAATTAGCAGGTTGGAAGGGAAGCACAGGAGTGCTGGCCAGCCCAGGCACTCCTAAAGCAGGCAGGTGATCATCCCTCTTCCCAGTAATTAGTTCTTCTCTGCCTCCCCAACTCTAGGGCACATTATCAAATGTGTCCCTACTTTGTTTGAGATCTACATGACTCTATCTCTTTTATCAAAACCTGCACTCAGAACATGATCTGAAGTGATCAGCATAATTTAAATGACCAGTCACATTTTCCTAAGAGGCATTTGCATTTTTAAAAGGGGCTCCATTAAGCAAAAGATGAGGGGATTCTCAGAGTGGAACTTCAGGCATCCACAAGAGGGGAAGATACTATCTCACTGGGAGTTGACAGTATCTGATAATTGATCTCCTTCCCATCTGATTTCCAAGGGATCAAGGTGTCCCGGTTTTAAACAACCACAAGTAAGGACAGGATAGAGTCCAAGGAGACATACTATCAGGTTGGAAAATTCATTAAGTATTTACATGAAAATTCAGGTTCCTCATTGCTCAGGTATGGTCACATGGCTCAGAAAGCACAAGAAGTAGAGCCCTGAGGTCAGACCTGAGAGGCTTCTGAGGGGCTGATGCAGTGACTTCTCTGCTGCAGGTCAGGATTCCTGGAACTGGGGCATGGTTGGGGAGGGGTTGCAGGGAAGGGTGGGAGGAAGGAAGAAAGGAATAAGTGAGTGGAAGTGCTTCAGGATGAGCTCATTGGGGTGGGTAGGAAAGAAGTTTTCTAACTTATTAAGAATTTAAGAATTTATGAGAACTCAAGATTTCAGGAAGGGAGGAAGAAGAAACACATTGCATTTCTATCCTTGACTAGGGAACTAGATGATAGGGATGGGAAGGGTGGTTGGTGACTCATGCCTTTTTGTCTACTCATTGTGGGAGGATGTGAGCTCTGGGGGCAGGCAACCCAACATTGACCTCTCTAGGTCTCACGCCAATGTCTGTTATCAAGAGTGAGCAGGAAAAAGGACCTTAAGGACATGAGGCTGTGTCTTCTTCAGCTGAGCCTTGCAGGGCTGGCTGGAAGGTGGAGAAGGGATGGGATGGGAGTGGGATGTCAATGGGAGCTTGAAGATGGAAGATGGAAGGGTCATCTGCTGGAGCCTGGGATTCTATGGGGCTCTCTTGTGCTGTGGAGGGCACGAGTTCTGCAGGCCTTCCTTACAGTAGTCACGGCTGGCCTGAGCTGTGAGGTGGCTATAGAGGCGGTAGATGAGACAGTGCCTGGCACTTGGGATACCTGATATTCAGCCTGTCTTCTACTCGTTCCAGTCTGCCATCTTCAGGAACCAGCAGTGGGTGGGAGAAGCAGCAATATCTCCTAGTACTCAGTGGCATCCGCTGGCCACTTTCTTTCTCTCTGTTCCTCATCCCATACCAGCACATCTCCATCCTTCTGCAGCTGCTGCAGTCAGATCCATCATGTGGGCACTGACAACCCTTCTGCTCCTCGGTGAGTCCACAGTGAGGCAGCAGACGAGCTTTGGGTGGTGGAGAATAGGGTGGAGCAAGGTATGGGGAGAGGAGGGTAGGTATCCAATCCTCAGTTTCCAGGTGGTTCATTATTTCTGGAGGGGTAAAGAAGAAGGGGCTTTCTCAGAGCTTTGGAAACCAGGAGCAAAAGAAGAAAAACAGGTTTTGGGATCATTCAGCCTTTCTTGTCATCAAGAGTCTCTTTCCTCTCATCACCAACATTCTCCTTCCCCTTTCTCTTCCTTCTTTCTTGTTTTGCAGTTTCAAGCAGTGGGCAAGCTGGTGAGTCTTATACATTTCTCATCCCAATTTTCTACAACTTCCACTCCAACTCCCTAAGTTACCTGCTCAAGTAGACTCCTCACTTCTTGGCTGCTCTGGGATAGTGTCTTTTCCTACTCTCCTCAACCACTGGGACTACATTTGCTTGGAGGCATTTAGAAATGGGTGCTGGCTGATGGACTGATAGTCTGTAACCCAATGAATGTGATCTCCTGTCCTGCAGGGATGGGTTCGTACATGGGCTGGGGCCTGGGAGCTGGGGTTTCCTAAGATTTCCCAAACTCAGGTCGTTTCTTTGGGCACCTCACCTTGATTCTCTTTGCATGCTGCCCCCTCTTACCCCACCTCTCACCCCAGCTACTCTGGAGAAGCCCATATTGTCTCTACACCCACCTTGGACCACCATCTTCAAGGGGGAGCGGGTAACTTTGAAGTGCGATGGATACCACCCACTGCTCCTGGAGCTCCGGCCCATCAGCACTCTCTGGTATTTGGGCCACCTACTTCTGCCCTCTCACAAGAAGAGCATTGAGGTGCAGACACCAGGGGTGTATCGATGCCAGACACGGGGAGCACCCGTCAGTGACCCCATTCACCTCTCTGTATCCAATGGTGAGTAGTCTGAGCATGAGGGGAGGGGGAGCACTTGTCTCCTCTGGCAATACCAGCCCTCTGGTGGGAGGGGACACGAGGTCAATCCCAAGGTGCAGGAAACAAGGGCCACACTGGGGCCTATCTTAAGTGTCTGGAGCAGGTAGGGCCCTGCATGGCACTATTCGAGAGATGCAGTAAGGCATGCCTAGCCCCAAAGGTCCCCTTACCCTCCTGCCACAGTGTGAGGCACAGTGTGAACATTTCTGTTTGTTTCTGAGACCAGCTCAGAAAAGCAAAACGTTCCGAGGACCTGGAGTGCTGGACAGAGAACTTTAGGGGGTAGGGGAGCACTGAGTAGTAAAGGAAACTCACCAAACAGGAAAGGTGAGTTTCCCTGGCAGGCCGAGCACAGATGGAGGATCTACTCTCAGTTGAACAGTGTGATGCTTCTCTGTGCCTCAGTGTCTACATCTGTAAAGAAGGGACAATAATAGTATGTACCTCTTTGCCTGCTCTGAGGATTAAAAGTGAATTATGATTTGCTAAAGAAAAAAAGCAGCAATTGAACTGAGCACTTACTCAAAGTTTTATTGCATACGAATATATGTGTACACAGGAGTCAGCTGAGAAACTCATTCTCGAGATGCTTGAAGAGTTTTAAAACAGGATAAGAAAAATAATAATCATTTGTTCATTAAGGTACAGGATTGCTGGGCATGGTGGTTCAATCCTATAATCCCAGCATTTTGGGAGGCCAAGGTGGGCAGATCACCTGAGGTCAGGAATTCAAGACCAGCCTGGCCAACATGGTGAAACTGTGTCTCTACTAAAAATACAAAAAAAAAAAAAAAATGTTAGCTGGGCATGATAGTGGGTGCCTGCCTGTAGTCCCAGCTACTCAGGAGGCTGAGGCATGAGAATTGTTTGAACCCGGGAGGCGGAGGTTGCTGTGAGCAGAGATCATGCCGTTGCATTCCTAGCCACAATTTGTGTTCCGAATTTAAAGCACATCACTCAATGTTCAGATTAGCACTTACACACACTTCATATTCATACTCTGTGGCCTCTTGTTTGGAAATTGTTGGTGATAGCAATAATTATACTGAGTACTATAGGAGTAATTACTGTTTACAGACAGTGCATGTGGATTATGCTTATTACTTGCAGGATTCTTTCTCAATGTACAACACCTAAAATGGCATCTGCTCTGTGCTAGGGCTATGTAACTACAATGATCACAGGGTAATTATGGGGTGCTGTAGGAGATACCTAAGGCTGTCCTGGGGTGTCAAGGATGTTTTCTGGAGGAGATAAGGTCTAAGCCTAGACTTGCAGGAGAAGCAGGCCTCAACTTAAACAGGTGAAAAGAGTCTTCTTGGCTGAGGAAATAGCAGGTACAAAGGCCTTGGGCTCAATTCTCTAAACAGGGCCAATTGTCTCAACAGTTCAGTATGGCTGGAGCTTAGCCTGTTAGGAGTGGAAGGTGAAGAAAGTAGAGAGGAAATGGGGCAGAAGTGAATACTGCCATGGTGAGGGAGAGGTAAGCAGGATCCAGTCAGGAAGACCCTGACACCATCCTAAAGGGGTGATTCTTATGGTCAAAACTCTTTGAGGCTGGAGCCAAGTCTCTGGCATCTTTGCCTCCCTGGCTAAGGGAAAGACCAGCCCTCCCCCTTCCTTCCCAGTCACCTACAAATATATCTTGCACTATGAGGCTACTGGGTGCCAACCACCAGGGAAGCCCTGTCTGCTCAGGAAAGCAGTGGGAGGCCAGGCGCGGTGGCTCAGGCCTGTAATCCCAGCACTTTGGGAGGCCAAGGTGGGCGGAGCACCTGAGTTCAGAGTTCCAGACCAGCCTGGCCAACATGGCGAAAACCTGTCTCTACTAAAAAATGCAAAAATTAGCTGGGCGTGGTGGCGCGCACATGTAATTCCTAGCTACTCGGGAGGCTGAGGCAGGAGAATCGCTTGAACCCGACAGGTGGAGGTTACAGTGAGCCGAGTTTGTGCCACTGCACTCCAATCTGGGCAACAGAGCAAGACCGTGTCTCAAAAAAGAAAAGAAAAAAAAAAGAAAGCGGTGGGAGATGGCGGGGAAGGGAGGGAGAGGAGTTATGGGGAGAAAGCAGAGAGTCTGTGAGAGTGGGAGATCTCCAGGGCTGGACTTTCTGTGGAGTCAAGCGTGTCTGTGGTGTCTGTCGCAGACTGGCTGATTCTGCAAGTGCCCTATACTCCAGTGTTCGAGGGCGAGCCGCTGGTCCTGCGCTGCCGCGGCTGGTACGACAAGGTGGTCTACAAGCTTCACTACTACCACGACGGCCAGGCCGTGCGCTACTTCCACTCCAGCGCCAACTACACTGTGTTGCAGGCGCGCGCCAGCGATAGCGGGCGCTACCAGTGCTCGGGCACCATGCGCATCCCGGTGGAGAGCGCGCCCATGTTCTCCGCTAAGGTGGCTGTGACAGTGCAAGGTGGGAGAGACCAGGGGCCCCGGGAGGGAGGCAAATGAGCACTGAGAAATTTTGGGACAGGAGCTCGGCGGGAAAAGACCGGGCGGGAAGTTCAAATAGCTGCCACTTGGCGGGTTTCTCTTAGACTACGGACGCTGTCTCCTCTCCTTCGCCGCGAAGGAGCGCTTATCTGCAGCCTGCTTGGAGGCTGGTCCCTTTCCCCGACGCACACCCTGGCTTCTCACTCTGGCTCCCATAGAGAGGGCAGCTCTGGCAGGGGCAGGGGGCATCGTGGGACTGGGACGAAGGAGCGACTCCCTAACGTCCTGCAAGGCAGGCGCAGCGTCTCCTCTCCTAGGCTGCAGAACCCGAGCTGAGTGTCAGTCGGGATGTGACATGAAGCGTGGGGCCCGGTCCCTCCTCCTTTCAAGCTTTCCCCGTCCCTCGTGGACTCGGTCCCCCTGCCCCACGTTTCAGAAGGCTCCCCTTCCCCCTCCACGTGGACACACGGCCTCCTCCGCTCACCCTCTTGGTCTGTGGGTCTGCAAGGAGCCCTCGCGGGAAGCAGGAAGGAGCTGGGTCGTGGAGCGGTGGACGAACCGGCGTCGTTGCTCCCCGCCCTCTTCGCAGAACTGTTCCGGGCGCCGGTGCTGAGGGTGACGGGTCCGCGGGAGGTCCGCGGCAAGGCACTGGGCGGGGTGGTGCTGCGCTGCGACACGCACCTGCACCCGCAGAAGCGCGACACCCCGCTGCAGTTCGCGTTTTACAAGTACAGCCGTGCGGTGCGCCGCTTCGACTGGGGCGCCGAGTACACAGTCCCGGAGCCTGAGGTCGAGGAGCTGGAATCGTACTGGTGCGAGGCGGCTACCGCCACCCGCAGTGTCCGGAAACGCAGTCCGTGGCTGCAGCTCCCGGGGCCGGGTGAGTGCCTGCACACCTTCCCGGACGCCCACCCTGGCGAGCAGCCCTGCTTCCACCTCTCTGCACCCACGAATCCCCCCCCCCCCCCCGCCCCCGTCTCGCCCCCCCGCCCCCGCCTCCCTGTCCCGGTCCCGCCCTCCCTCCCCCAGTCTTTCCCATCTCCCACTCGCCACCCTCCTTCTCCCCCTTCTTCCGGCCTTCCCCATCCCCGCCCACCGCCCCACGCCTCTCCCCCAGCCCCGCGCCGAGAAGAACCATGAAAGCCGCGCGTGACTGGGAGTGATGCATTCACAGGTTCTCCCCTGGACCCGGCCTCCACCACCGCACCACGGGCCGCAGCCTTGGCTCCTGGAAACAAGCCACTTTTCTTCAGAAAGCCCCCGGTGTCCAGATCGGTCCCGTCGGTCACCTCCGTCCCGAGCACCACCTCCACCGGGCTGCAGTTCCCGGCAAGTGGCGCCCCGACTGCTGGGCCACCCGCCTGCGCTCCGCAGACGCCCTTGGAACAATCGGCTGGAGCCCTGAAACCCGACGTGGACCTTCTTCTCCGAGAAATGCAGCTGCTCAAAGGCATTCTGAGCCGGGTGGTCCTGGAATTAAAGGAGCCACAGGCCCTCCCGGAGCTCAGGGGTACGCCCGAGACCCCCACCTCTCACTTTGCTGTGAACCTGGGAACCCCAGAGACCACTCTTGTGGAGAGCTGAGGGGGCGGCTACCGTCCCCTCTGCAGGCTCATTCCGCCCTGGTCGCCTGCTTCCCCTCAGGCGAAGTTCTTTCAAAGCCATCTGTTTGCATCCTTGTGTTTTGCTGTGGTTTTTAAAGGAGCGCCCACTAAGTGTAGTGGCTGACAATTTCAACCTCACACAGCAGTTTGTAACCACAAGCATTCTCTTTGAATTCTCACAGAATTCAGCAAGAAGTAGACACCTGCTATTTACTACATTGTGGTTTAACTTTGGAAGTGAATTTAGTCACCCATAGCCCTTCAGATAAGCCTAGCCAGTACATATTTCAGCACAGGCAGTTTTTTTGGTATTTAAGTACATTGAGGTAACTGAGGACTTCATAATATTTTAGGGTCGAGGTGTAATTATTCATAATGAATTTATTCTGTTGATATTAAAAAGACGTTCAGTCCTATTACTGATGAGTTTACGTCTTCAAATAACTCCTGGGTTCTATTTAGTTTTGGAGAGCAAAAGTTGTTTGTGTGGGCCTCCCATTCCCTGGTTAAAAGGATCAGAGTCTTTGGGAGGCTGAGGCGGGCGGATCACCTGAGGTCAGGAGTTCGAGACCAGCCTGGCCAACATGGCGAAACCCTGTCTCTACCGAAAATATAAAAATTAGTCAGGTGTGGTGGCAGGCGCCTGTAATCCCAGCTGCTCGGGAGGCTGAGGCAGGAGAATTGCTTGAACCCGGGAGGCAGAGGTTGCAGTGAGCCGAGATCGTGCCATTGCACTCCAGCCTGGGTAACAAGAGCAAAACTCTGTCTCAAAAAAACAAAAAAGAGGGAGAATTCTGTTAGAATCACCCGGGTACACCCCCTGCCCCAATGCAGCTAGACAGACTGATGGGCTGTGGTAGCAACAGGCAGACTATGCTAACCTTAGCCATATATTACATAAGTGTACCATTTGCATTGAGAAATCTTTTTGAAGAAACCTTAAGACAAATCCTCAAAATCGAGTTCTCATTCTTAGCAACTTTTTTCGTAAGAGCCTTTCCAACATGAATACACCAAGATATGCACATGCACAGATCAGTATGCCATCCTGCATGATGACTTTACTGTCACTTAGTTAAAAGAAGAAAAGTTAGAAGCCATTTCAATTGCAATTTCATGGTTATGTTCCTGGAAAGTCCCATTTTGATGGGTTTTCCCATCTGCCGACTGGAGCCATCAATCCTCTGCAGGGCTAGTGTGACTTGTCCTCAGAAGGCCTCGTTCTCATCAGGTCCACACCATTCTTAAGTTTCACTGTTAAGGCTTAGAGCTGTAACAACTGTACTCTCTCATCCTTTACTTCTGCTTGATAGATGTTCAGTCACAATCCCATTTTCCATTTCTTTCCAGAATAATATCAAGAGCTTTCATCCTATTCTTCTAAATATTGTTCTTCACCATATTATTATTACAAAGCCACTAAAATTATAGAGAGAGGCAGGCAGGTGCACACATAAATTACGATGCAATGTGATAAGTGCTCTATGAAACATGATAGGAATTCAGGGAAGAAAGTTGAATTTTTAAGGAAGAGCAAGAATTACCACATGGAGATGTGAGAAAGATTGAGGGTATGGCAAGTAGGCTGAGGATGCATATACACAGAGAAATGAAAGAATGTAGCATGTTTATGGAGCTGCAAATAATTGGGAGTGGTTGGAGAATTATGTATGTTTATGTGTATGCGTGTAGGTGTATTTTAGGGAGGAGGTGGCAGAGATGAATATGGGGAAGTAGGAAGAAATCAGAACACGAAAGTCTTGTTAAGAAGTGCTTTAGCCTGTTGGATACTTGGGATGGCTATCTGAAAGCATTCCTGACATGAAGGCATCAGTATGTCTAACTGGAGGAAATGCTAACTTAAAATTAGACAAGAAGAATCAAACTTATCTCAGCGGATCTTTCTTAACTCGGAGGAGGTATGTCCAGGTCTCTATAATTCAGTACTGGGGTCCCGGTCTACAAGGGCCTTTGTGGCTCTGATTTCCAGCTTTCTGATGTAGGCTCATCTCACTTTTCAGAACTCTCTTCCAAGGCAACTTTTCCTAGTTAACTGCACTCTATTTCGGTGACCAGGCTCTTTTCCCCTTCTGATTTTGTTTCCCTGAGATTTCTGCCTTTTTTATTTTTTTGAGACGGAGTCTCCCGTCTCGCTGTGTCGCCCAGGCTGGAGCTGTCTCTGCTCACTACAACCTCTGCCTCCCAGGTTCAAGCGATTCTTCCGCCTCAGCCTCCATAGCAGCCGGGATTATAGGCACCCGCCATCATGCCCGGCTAGTTGTTTGATTTTTGTAGAGAGGGGGTGTTGCGGGAAGTCAGGGACCCCGAACGGGAGGGACTGGCTGAAGCCGTGGCAGAAGAACACAAATTGTGAAAATTTCATGGACATTTATTAGTTCCCCAAATTAATACTTTTATAATTTCTTACACCTGTCTTTACTGTAATCTCTGAACATAAATTGTGAAGATTTCATGGACACTTATCACTTCCCCAGTGAATATCCTTGTGATTTCCTATGCCTGTCTTTACTTTAATCCCTTAATCCCGTCATCTTCCTTGTAAACTGGGGAGGGTGAATGTCGCCTCAGGACCCTGTGATCGTGTCAACTGCACAAATTGTTTGTAGAGCATGTGTGTTTGAACAACATGAAATCTGGGCATCTTAAAAAAAGAACAGGGTAACAGTGATGTTCAGGGAACAGGAGAGGTAACTTTGAACTGGCCGCCGGTGAGCCGGGTGGAACAGAGCTATATTCCTCCTCTTTCATAAGCAAATAGGAGAAATATCGCTGAATTCTTTTTCTCAGCAAGGAATATCCCTGAGAAAGAGAATGAGCCCTGAAGGTAGGCCTATAGACGGCCCCTTTTAAGGCGTCCTGTCTTTTACAGTCGAAGCTGAAGGGATGAAATAAGCCCAGGTCTCCTATAGTGCTCCCAGGCTTACTAGGATGGGAAAATTCTCACCTAATAAATTGTGCTCAGACAGGTTACCTGCTGTCAAACCCTGTTTCCTGATAAGATGTTATCAATGACAATGTGTGCCCGAAACTTCATTAGCAATTTTAATTTCTCCTCCTCCGGTGGTCCTGTGATCTCGCCCTGCCTCCCTTTGCTTTGTGATATTTTATTACCTTGTGAAGTATGTGATCTCTGTGACCCACACCCTATTCGAGCACTCCCTCCCTTTTTAAAAATCGCTAATAAAAACTTACTGGTTTTACGGCTTGGGGAATGTCGGGGATCCTGCCGACATGTGATATTTCCCCCAGACACCCAGCTTTAAATTTCTCTCTCTTGTGCTCTTTCCCTTTATTTCTCAACCCAGCCGAGACACTTAGGAAATAGAGAAGAACCCATGTTAAACATCGGGAGTGGGTTCTCCTGATAAGGGGGTTTCACCATGTTGGCCAGGCTGGTCTTGAACTCCTGACTTCGGGTGATCCGCCCTGAAGTGTTCTAAAGTGCATCCTCAGCCTTCTAAAGTGCTGGGATTACCGACGTGAGCCACCGCGCCAGGCCGGTTTCTGCCATCTTGATCTAGACAGGAAGTGACTAACATTAGTGGCAAGAGGCTTAGTAATCAAAGAATCTCAGGTCATTTAAAAAATCAGTTGATCATTTTTGAAGAGTACAAAAAAGAGAAATAGTTACTCAAAGGGGAGCTAGGGCGGCAGTAAGTCTTTCATTCATACGTTTTTGGCAACATCAACATCCTTGTTCTTGTTTTGCCATCTACTTCCATTTAGAACTAGGATGTGGGGGGATGGGGAAGAACAAGAACTTTTTGGTGAGAATGAAAATCATTCATGACTCAACTTTCCTGTGTGGGGGAGAGGAATTGACTTTTACGACCTGTAGACGCCACTGTCTTCTTCGTGCACCCCAGCTTTTAAAGAGGAGGGCAGGATCAAGATGATTTTCTAAGATATCTGTTATTGATCTCCCAGGAAGACCTGCATTAAGGAAATACAGCTTCATCTTCATCCCTTCTGTTTGAGGTTCCAGCAAGCATTTAGGGAAACCGGAAGGCTAGCTAGCCCAGGTTGT